TGATGAGCAAGACGTGTCTTTAATTGTTTGTCTCCTGGACTAGCATGTGAACATAGGCACATTTCTTGAGTTACAGAGAAAAAGAGAAGTATATGTGAATTACTCTTCAGAGGCTTGTAAAGTCATATAAAAATTTACGGGCTTGCTGCATTATTCAAGGTACATAATTTTATTACAGATCTGAGCAACACATGGGACAATTGATTTATTGTTACGGTCATATTTTACAGAACGAATGTTTTACAAAGACTTTACTGCATGTATTTTAAAAAGTACAGGGCAATTCTTTGGAAAATGACAGTCTAAGCTTATGTTTTAACGAAAGCAGAATTTTTTTACACAGGCAAAAGTAATTTATTTGTATCGTTGTATACAGGCCATTACTTAGTAATGATTGAAATAATCTTACCATCTGATCCAGTACCTCTTCTGGTAGTATTTTATTTGGGGTAGAGGTGCAGGATTCTAGAAAGCAAAAACAGAGATATGCCTAAAAATAAAAGTCAGTTCCTCTCTGTAATATAAAAACAACCATTTTTATTATGTAAATAATAACTTAAACAATCATTTATAAGTATTTATGCATGATTGATGACTGATAAACATCAGGTTCAAATTGCTTTGCAATGGTGAACTGATTTTGGTTGAACATGAAGAGTAGGATTCATCTCATCCTAACACTGTATGCCTGATGACTAGTCTAAGTCTAGACTCTGATCTATGATCAGTGCCTAAAACTGGTGGGTGGAGTTGTTCCTTGGAGAAGAAGACCAGGCAACTACCTTAGATATTGGAAAACTAAATATTAGACACATCAAGTCTATGAGAAGTAACTGCCGATAGACTAGTTTGGCATTAAAACTGGAAACCACCTCAATTGAAAAGCAGAATGTTTTAATTTCCAGTGTCCTGTTGCAGATCCTCATTTGCATGGATTTTGGATGGCACCTCCTGGGTTCCTCCCCTGATTGCATAGTGATAAATCCCCTTTTGCTGCCCACTGGGGAATCCAGCCAGGGGAGGAGACTGGCAGCCCATAGATTTTATTATTCACTCCCCAAAACACAGTATGAAACATTTTTGCTATCCACTGAAGCAGTTCCCTTTCTGGTCCATTGTTGAAACTGATTTAATTTGTCACTGGTTAATGCTTTTAAAAAAAAAAAATAATAAAAAAGGTTGAGCTTTAGATATTTGGGGATTTGATCTTTAAATTAGGAAGTTGAAGCAGTCCATTTGTACTCGTCGCTGCTGTTCCGTTATCTGTTCTGCTGCTTCCATAGCGTGGGCGGAATATTCCTTCACGAAGCTGAAACTCGCTGTCTTTTCTCAAAGACCCTAATGAAGATAAATCGTACCGTCAGCACTTGTTTTCTTTCCAAGAATTCTTCTTAATTTTGCACTTTGTGGATGGTTCCTGCTACGTTAACTATCTTTTTCCTCTGAATGCAGTGATCCAAAACCGAGCAAATAAGAGCTGCTGGATTTGGAAGAGGGCTGCACAACTTTGTTTATAGCCTGCCTAACGCAACCTTTCCATAATCTGACGTTGGGGTACATGGGACATACAGCAGAGCTGCAGTCTGCTGGAGGGGGGGCCCAATCATTCATGCTGGAATCCCTTTACCTGTCACTATTCTGGACACGAGTGATACATCTGCACAGCTAGAAGGGCTTTACCATCCATAATTCTCTGCACAAGGGAGTTTTAGAGTCAAGAGTGGTTGATAGCTACCAGCAGGTGCTTGCGTGTCTCCTGTTTTCCTGAAAAATCAAAAAATGAGCCTCTCCAGAGACTCCCTTTGAGCTTAAGGTGTGTGTAAGTAGGACTGCGTTTATTCCAGACAAGAAAAAACTCATCTGACCCACAACTGAGTTTAAATTCTCATCTGTACAATATTTTTAGAGTGAAAACATGGGTTCTGACTGAATAAAAAGCTGGCTGTATATTGAACTAATTACGTTTAGTGCCAAGTTAGACCATACCTACATGAAAGAAAAGATCTGAAATGACTGGAACTAAGCTGAGTTATTTGCAGCCTGCATAGTGTCCGGGCCATGGCTAGTCCAAGGCAGTAGCATAAGAAAATTTCTTTCATTTGTGATTGAACTGCATTTCTCTCCAAGAGTTGCCAAGCCTAGCATCTGTGACGGGGTTGGTTTTATCTTCTTATGAAATTAGTCAAAGAGATTGATCGTTTGTATTTTTGACTTTGGTTGGTTATGTTTTTTCAGCTTGTCCTGCTAGGACTTGATACTGCACTCATTTAAATAAAACTATATAATACCTGGATCTTCTCGCTCAGGATCCTGCCACCAGCAGCAGCCAGTAGTGGATGCTTGGGCAGCAGTACGGTCACCAGGTTGGAGACTGTGTGGTATCTGCCTGGTTATGGCCTCCCAGCTTCTAGCATTTATGGACTGGTGGAGAAGGAGGAAGCACAGCATCTAGTACCCCTTCCACATTCATCTTCTGTTAATTTGTCTAACCACTTTCTGGTTTCATTCAGGCTTTTAACCTCTGTATTGCTGGGGAGCAATGAATTTTGTAACTGAGTGTGTGCTCTGTGGAAAAGTGCTACTTCTTGTTTTCTGCTACTTCTGAATCTCCCCTCTGGTAATTTGTGTGGATTCCTACTAGTTCTTGTATGATGAGAAACAGTAAATAATAACTCCCTGCCCACCTTCTCTGTGCTATTCATGATTTATAGACCGCTGTCAAATTCCCCTTCTTGCCCTGGATGAAAAGTCATTTTCTGTTTACTCTTAGCTCATACAAATCTGTGCCATTCGAAGTGCTGTGTAAGCAGTTGTGGTAATTAAAAGAGGTAAATTAAGCATAAACCTGGGCACGGAGACTTAGAAGCACTGAGAATTTGTGGCTGTAGCTGAAATTATTGGAGGGCGTCTTGAGGCTGAAAATCAGGGCCTTAGTGTAGAGATATGGAGCAATTAATAAGGATACTCACAGGGGGATTCAGTTTTGAGCTGGAGAACAGCATCCAGCTGCTTGACAGGCATTCTGCAAATCTCTGCTCCAGTCAAATGCTGCAAAGTATTTGTTGTCTGTGCTGAATATAAGCAACCAGGCTTTCTGAAATGATCACCCCAAACAATCACTGTGCAGTAGAATCATGGAACTGTCTAGGTTGGAAAAGACCTTTGAGATCATCTAGTCCAACCATCAACCTAACTCTGATAAAAAACCATCACTAAACCATGTCACTAAGCACTGTGTCAACCCGTCTTTTAAATACCACCAGGGATGGTGCCTCAACCACTTCCCTGGGCAGCCCATTCCAGAGCTTAATAACCCTTTCAGTGTAACAATTTTTCCTAATATCCAATCTGAACCTCCCCTCGTGCAACTTGAGGCTGTTTCCTCTTGTCCCATCGCCTGTGACCTGGGAGAAGAGACCGATCCCTGCTTCTCTACAACTATCTTCCAGGGAGTTGTAGAGAGCAAAATAAGATCTTCCCTTAGCCTCTTTTTCTCCAGGCTGAACACCCCCAGCTCCCTCAGCCTCTCCTCATAAGACTTATCCTCCAGACCCCTCACCAGCTCCGTTGCCCTTCTCTGGACCCGCTCCAGCACCTCAATGTCTTTTCTGTGGTGAGGGGCCCAAAACTGGACACAGCACTCGAGGTGAGGCCTCACCAGTGCCCAGTACAGGGGGACAATCACCTCTCGGGTCCTACTCCCCACACTGTTCCTGATCCAGGCCAGGATGCTGTTTGCCATCTTGGCCACCTGGGCACACTGCTGGCTTATGTTCAGCCGACAGTTGACCAACACCCCCAGGTCCTTTTCTGCCAGGCAGCTCTCCAGCCACTCTTCCACAAACTTTTGTAGCTGCAGGGGGTTGTTGTGACCCAAGTAACTTGAAAGGTACTTAGTTTTACCCTCCAAGGATCAAGGACAACGTCGTCCCTGTTTCATTCCAGCCCAAGTGTTTGGGAGTTAGCGTTTTTGAATCCAAAACCCAAAGACTTTGGTGCTGCCAATGGACTGTCTATTCCTGTACCCCAGGAACTGAGAATCTGCTGAAGGGGAATGTTTTTAGGAGCAAAGCTATTCATACACGAGTCTCAAATTATCTTCAATAGCATGCTCAGCCAAATCTTAAAAAGAATGCAAGTACACATTAATTAAGAATTAACATAATTCTGTTCCTTGAGCATGGTGTTTATTAAAATATAAACTCTGTGAACATACACTTGAGAGGAAGCTTCTAAATATTTTTATAAGCTTAATTTTCACTCACCCTTTATTTATTTTTTCATTAAGAGACAAGAAAAAAGATGGCACTTGACTTTCCGAAACTTTCCATTTGCTTCTCAGATATAGCATCAAAAAGTTGCTGAGTGTCCTTAACTCTGCTGATTGGGCAAAATCAGGAATGATATGAAAAGCGGAGGCATGGGATGACATTTTGAAAAGCACTGAAAGCTGCGTTTGTCACGCTGTTCAGACAACTAAAGGACCAAGAAATGGAGTTTTCACATTTCAATTTTGAGATGTTCACATTCTTTAGGCATTGAAATGCGTTGAGAAATCTGACACTTGTAGTACCACAGATATTTTTCAAAAACAATTCTATGATGGAAAACCCAAGTATCCGGTCACTTCCACCACTGTTTGGAAAATAGGATTTAACCTTTATCCTGCCCCACCAAGTAGTGTAGCACCTAAATACTCTTGCAAGTGTTGGTGATCAGCCCCTCCGTAGTACTCTCACAGCACTTCACAATTAGCCACCCTGTTTGAAAATAGTAACGGTCTGCAGGAGGCTTTGCGGTCCAGAAAACATCTTTCCTCAGGCTTACAGGTGTGGGAGATGGCACAGCGCAACAGGGACCAGTTTGCATCCAGACGCATCTCACAGAAGAAAGAGGACAAAGTTTGCTCATGATCCTCAGCTCCCCCTTTGATTTGTGTTGCTCTTAGCCCTGCATCTGTGCTTTTCTGCTGACTTGCTGAACTACTTTGTGTTTTGCAGAATGCCAAAGCCAGCTATGACTTCAGCAGTAACGATCCCTACCCCTACCCCCGCTACACGGATGACTGGTTTAACAGGTAAATGGGTTTTAACCCACTTTGGTTTGCTTAAGAAATGATAAAATATTTGCTGGTATTTGTGGAATGTCTGTTTTCTGCTGACTCCAATGGTTGCCAGAACAGAAGCTGCAGTTTCACTACTGCTTCAAAATTAGAGGTGACTTATGACATCATTTTTGGGGGTAACCTCTAAATTGCACTGAACAACCATTTTATGGTTTATAAATGAAGTTGCTGCTTCAGAAGAGTATGTATGTAAATTATTGGAATGAGTGACAGCCACGTACCATTTTCTGTCAGCTATCCTAGGATATTATGGTAACCCAAATCTGTATATGCTTAATACTGTTTTGCCTGGTTTCCCATCTGCTGTGTCTGAGGCACTCTGACTGCTGGCTAATTTTAAAGGGCATGAGCTGGAGACAGGAAAAGGCTTTGGGTTTCATCTGATTTTAGACTAAGAAGGCAGAAAACCAGCATGGTGTAGATTGACCAGTTTAGAAACAACTACATCTTACATAAGTTCTGAATCGTCTGTGGTTTTCACCTTGATTTAAGGATGGCGTCCATGGGTAGCGTTACAGGATTGATTCCGAGGTATTTGTAGCTGCTGAAGGAATTAAAGTTCCTGTGCACTGACTCGGAACCTGTTCTGTTGTATGTATAAACCTGGAATCAACAGTGCAGCTGTGCTTGTTGGGATATTTCTAAGACATCGTGATTGCCCAAGACCCACTCCTCCTCCAACATATTCTGAACCTAGCCAGTTTCCAGCAGGTGAAGGTCTGGTCCTCAATGTATGATGTTAACAAGAATGGCCTTTCAAAAGAAAAGGCTTCAGATTTTAGGAAGTTTGACCTTTTTTGTTTCCCAAAATTAATTTTTGGTTAGAATGGAACAGAAGCATCCTAGCAAGATGTTAAGGTAGTCAAGGGTGTAGAGCCCAAGGCCCATCCAGAAGGTGTGTTTACTCCTTGGCAATCTCAGTATCCAGCATCGCTGGCTCTGCAGTATATTCCCCAAGATCTCGGGCGTGTTCCGCTTGGATTTACAAAAATTGTTTCAGGATATTTTCAGTGAAATTTCCGAATGTCATCTAGTTGTAAACCTAACTGATGTTGCCAACGTTGCCAAAGCAGCAGCACTGAGGATTTGAAAACTTTCAAAGGTTTCAGGGCTAAGTCTTAGTGCTTATCAAAAAATATTTTAGGCTTTTTTGATGTGTGATCTCTAACTTAGTATGGATGGCCTCTGAGTTTTGTATGGGTTTTTTTGTTTTTATTTCTAAAGAGATCGATTTTAGCTCTGTCAGAATGATGGAACAAAGATGTGGAGCAGGTGTGCTTCCACCTCAGACACAGGCTTTCTGGAATGGATCAAACAGATTTAGGAGCTGTGATGTCCTCCTTTGTAGTCCTGCCATTATTCAGCCAAAGCAAGATGCCAATGAGATTTCTCCTTCATTTCAGGAAAGGGCATCTGACACTTTTAAACTAGTATGAATCCAATTAGTGAATGGAAATTCGGAGAAAGACTAGGGCTCTAATTTGTGAAGGTCTGCTGCCTTTCTCGCTTTACTTTATGCAAAGGATCTTTGTAGGGGAAAGGTGTCACTTAGCTCTCGAGCAGCACAGAGGAAAATTAAATTTAGCTTTAGTGGGTAATGGTAGCTTGTATCATTTTCAGTGTTCAGTGTGGAACTTCATAAAACTAAGTGTGTTCTGCCAAGCCCCATTAACACTGATTGTTCTGCTATCAAGTATTTTATAGGGGGGCACAGTTTGCAGTCCTTACTTGTTCTGCAAGGTGGCCCTGGAGGCAGAGTTACCTCCTAAAGTCTCTTGAAAAGGGGCCTTGAGCATCCTGGATGGTGCAAGGCTTGTGATTTCTGGCCCCAGGTGCCTCTGAGTAACTTCGGGCACCCATGTGAAGAATCGAGGGTGGGCAGCATGGTCATCTGTGACCTGATCTGTAATTATTAAGAACTGCATGATGCTGGTGTTCAGAGAACTGCAACACTTTCTTCTCTTTCTTTTCTTGAGAGGATAGGGAGCTCAAGTCAGGAGGAGAAAAGCAATGCAGAAACTGCTTTGCTTATTTCCTTCATTATTCTTTGCAGAAAAGAACAGAAAGCATAGCATTCTTGGTCACAAACCTTGAGGTTTCTTTGGTGAGACAGGGAATTTTCTGTCTTGCAAGGTAAATTATGGGAGCAACACTTTCAGTAAAGCACCCCTTTCCTACCTGCAAAATTCGAGAAGGCTTTAAGGTGCAAGATTTGATGATTTCTCTGGGCTGAGATTTAAACCAGCAGACCATATCCAGCTGTTCAGCAGTGGTTGTGACTTTTTCTCTGCATGTTTCTCTGCTGTACTGTTAATCAAGCTGATGTGCTCATACATTGCCTATTATCGTAACTTCTGACTCCTGAGTTACTACTACTGGTAGGTTACAACTGTCTGCCTGTGACAGTCTGTCCATCCATATGTGTAGCTGCACAGGTGCATCTGGATTGAGAGTAGTTACACCCAAAAGCCATTCAGAGAAACCTGCACTAAAGGCTCCATTTTGCTCAGTTTGCAGTCAGTGATGTATCTCCCATTGAATTTTATGCATGCAGGAGGATCAGACTCAAAATAGGATAGCATAACATCCCTTTTTCCATAAAGAATACATTTCTGTGTGAGCAATTCAAGTGATTTGTGGAACAAGAAGCAGAGGACTGTTTTTTAAAGAGATGAACCAAGGGGCTTTTGTGAGCTGCCAGCTGCATGTGCAAAGTGTCATTAGTCTTTAAGAAAAAAGGGAGAGGTTTTTGCATGGAGTATTTCATTAATCGCAGCTGCTCTGCTTGTAAGCACAGATTCTCCTTCCAGGCTGCTGGAAACACTTTGGCATTACCTTCTAACAGCCACTGGCCCGTGAAACCAAGCAGGGTGGGTTTTGGAAGGGGACAGCGCGGTGCCTCGGGCAGGGAGTTTTAGTTGGGCTGCTGTTAGAGGGAGAGGGACACACATGGCTGGGCAGTCAAGAGATTTATTCCTGTGCTTACCACATGGACTGCTTGACTGTGTTCAGACCCACAGCCGGGGGACCAAGCCAGGATAGAGGACATGGGGCAGGGCTGTGTTTGAGCCTGAAGAGCAGTGGGAGGAGTGAAGGAACCTGAACCAAGCCCTGTTCCCAAAAGCAGCAGCAGTTCTTTTTTATTTTGGAACCACTTCGAGAACTGCCTGTGATTTGTTGTTTTTTTTTTTTTCCTCCTGAACCACATTAGGGACCTTGGCATGTAGCATGTTGTGTGGTGTACCCATAGAAGTCAGAGATAGCGTGGCCTTTCTGTACAGCCCTCTGATTTCTTGTGAGCATGCAGAAGGCACAATTAGGGGCTCCCCATCTCAGAGCACTGAGATTACAAATTTCTGCCATGATATAAATAACCAATAATTACTTCTACTCCTGTAGCCTTTGTATTCTGTATACGCTCTCACCCAGATAGGAGTTAGCTGGGCAAAAGTTATTCACTATCTTGGAAACCCATATTCTTAAAAATGTCCTTTACTTATTATGGATCCAAACAAAACAGCACTGAGTCAAGGAAAGAACTCCCCTTGGCTTCCAGACAGCGCTCATTAACAGTAAAAACACCTGCTCCCCTCCTCCTCGTTGTTCAATCAATACAATGGAAACAACATAATAATTGAGAATTTGTTTAAACATGTTTAGCAGCTCTTTCTACCTGCAGTGTTGTGACACGAGAGTCAGGGAAGAGCTGCAGCAGTACTGCTGGTTCTTGGCAAGTTTGGATGCAGGCAGAGTTCCCCAGAGCAGGGGAACGCTTTCCCTTGGGGAAACACTCAAATACTTAGAAGCTGAAAATGTCATGTGAGTCAAAAGAGGATGACATTTGCCCCACAAAATTGCCCCTCTGAGCTTTGCATATTTAACTGCTGCCCAGTGCCAGCAGAATGAGTGTCTCGGTGAACGAGATAGGCAGATCATTCCAGCAGTTGAGACTGCAGCTCTGCATAGCCCTTCCCTGCCAACAGCTCAAGTTAAAAAGGATGGATCCTGTCCTTTGCTGTCTGCAGAAGCATTTCAAAGCAGATGAAAAGGAATCATAGAATCATGGAACGGTTAGAATTAGAAGGGACCTTGAAGGTCACCTAGTTCCAACCCCTGCCCTGGGCAGGGACACCTCCCACCAGACCAGGTTGCTCAAAGCCCCATCCAGCCTGGCCTTGAACCCCTCCAGGGATGGGGCAGCCACAGCTTCTCTGGGCAACCTGGGTCAGTGTCTCACCACCCTCGCAGCAAAGAATTTCTTCCTGATAGCTAATCTAGATCTCCCCTCTTTCAGTTAAAAACCATTACACCTTGTCCTATCACTCCACTCCCTGGTAAGGAGTCCCTCCCCATCTCTCATGTAGGCCCCTCTAGGTACTGGAAATGGCTCTAAGGTCTACCCAGAGCCTTCTCCAGGCTGAACAACCCCGACTCTCTCAGCCTGTCCTCACAGCAGAGGAGCTCCAGCCCTCTGAGCATCTTTGTGGCCCTCCTCTTGACTTGTTCCAACAGTCCAGGTCCTATGCTGAGGACTCCAGAGCTGGATGAAGTATGTGTTATTTAAACCAGCTGAAGGCAAAACTGACACTCAGTTGGATCAGTCTCTCCCACCTTAGGTTCATGAATATTCATGCAAAATGTTTGCATTTATATAATGTTTATGGATAACTTGCTCTGCATGCTAATACATAGTTTACCTTTGAAGTAACTTTTTCATAGGTGGAAATATTCTCAATTGTTTTCTTTCCCCTTATTTGAAACATTGAAATAATAGTGAAGAGGTGAATGCTGGAAAGAAAAGTTGTGATTTGTGCCCATAACACAGGTCACTTCATATAAACCACAATGGATTTATCAATGATACATGAACAGCAAATAGGGCTAAATTGGAAAAGTCTGCTATTTGCCATTAATAATTCAACCAAATGCATTTGCACTAACTCACATATGATTTTTTTTTCTCCAGTCAGCAGCACAGTATCTAAACCCTGAGCTGCTGGAACAGCTCTACTTGCAGTTTCCATCATGTGGGCTGGAGCGCAGGGAAGGTGAGGTGGGGGAGAGGATCTTCTGATAAAACCTTTTCACCAGGAAGGTCCTAATACTTTTTTTCCCTCAGAGAGAAAGAGCTCACCTGGCAGTGTCACTGACTTTTTTGTGCCCCAGCATCAGTCAAGACAATTTTTTAACAAAGCCATTTATTCTGCTCTGTGGCTTGTAGCTAGCCCACAGGTGACTAGATAATGAATGCCTAGCAACAGTATATTTTTTTCACAGTTCCTTGAACAAGGGCATGAGGGAAAACCTGCTTGATTGTTGAAAGAAATTTCTCCAGCAGCTGAATAAGAAATCTGTATAGCTCTCCTCTCTTCCCGCTTTGTAAAAGGAACTTGCATGAGATCTTCACCCTTTCATGATCAAGACACTGTGTAGATTCAAGGCCAGAGTCAAGATCAGCCATTTTCTCTTGTGGAGCTGCCTTTAAAAATATATTCTTCCAAGTCCAGCAGGAAGAAGAATGTGTTGCTTCTCACCCCTTTGTTAATGTTGCACTCACCTTTGCTGAGAGGAAAAAGATGATTAGAACAAACCAATTCTGCTGCCTCCTGGGATGGTTCATCTGGTACTTTGTATAGCCTTTACAATACAGTGCTACTAATTGCACGAAGCCTTAGTGTGCTGCAGGAGCAATGCCAGTTTTAACGCACAGGATGGATTGATGTGAGCAGTAGGATGGATTCATATTGATTCACCATCTTAAGTGTAAAGAAACCTGACAGCAGCACAGGTTTCATGAGTTTCTCTGCTGCTGTGCTATTTTTTAAAAACTGGATTATATTGTCCGTATTTATCTTCTATGTGGTTTAATTTCTGTGATGAATTAGGAGAAAGGAAAATGTAATTTGCCTTTCTGCAGGTCTGCCTCGGGACCACTGCCAGTTAAAGGCTCTCTGTTAAGAGCTGTAAGGCACTTGAGAGGTGCCAAGTGTTCTTGAAATGCCATGTATCAGCCCGAACCCCGACCTCTGTGTCAGAGCAGAGACACTTTCCACTTGAGCACAAAGCTGCAGCTCTGTAAGCTGACAGCTGGAGCACCTTGTCAGCTCTCCTGGGAATTAGGCACTGGAGGAGAGAGGTGCATGTGCCTTGGGTCTGGCCAGCTTTGGGACTGGCTGAGGAGTGCAGGGACTTCTGTGGCTCCCTTCTGCCACTCCAGCTTGATATTGCACCCACCTCTTTCCATAGCATTGCTTTCGTGGGCAGGGATACACTCCTGATACGTGTTTTAACAGCAAAAAGGCAACCACACTTTGTTCTGTGAAGTTCAAAATAACGGGTATCGCACTGTCAAGCCACAAAATTCAAGGAGTTAATACTGATCTTATTTTTATACTGGTCTGTGAAGGGCCTGTTTCTGCTGACTAATGGTTGGTAACAAGGCAGAACCTGTGTGACAGAGTTAAAAGGTGTGAATAACTTCACATCTAAATGAAGCGTAAGTATGCGTGTTAACCTCAGCTCAAGCATCGCCCGTACTGCAGAGGGGAAGTTGATTATCTCCTGCTTGAGGAAGGAATGAGCTCATGCAGGTATCAAAGTCCAACACTCAACAATTTGCCATGGAACAGTTTTCCTCTGCAGGGCTGGGAGCTGACTGTGGAGCAAAGCCAAGATCACGGTGATCGAGCTCAGCTGAGCACACGCATTCGCTGGGGTTCACGTGGTGTCTCTGTCTTCCCTTTTGCAGCCATGGGACGAGGTGTGCAGGAGAGGTGTCTGCTGCTGCCAACAACAACATATGCGGCGTGGGAGTTGCCTACAACTCCAAGGTGGCAGGTACGGTTATCGGTTGGAGGTGTAAATGGTCCTTATGCCAGGTTCATAGAATCATAGAATGGTTTGGGTTGGAAGGGACCTCAAAGATCATCGAGTTCCAACCCCCCTGCCCTGGGCAGGGACACCTCCCACTAGACCAGGTTGCTCAAGGCCACATCCAGCCTGGCCTTGAACCCCTCCAGGGATGGGGCAGCCACAACTTCCCTGGGCAACCTGTTCCAGTGTCTCACCACCCTCATAGTAAAAAATTTCTTCCTGAGATCTAATCTGAATCTTTTTTCTTCCAATTTAAAACCATTTCCCCTTGTCCTATCATTACACCTCCTGGCAAAGAGTCCCTCCCCAGTGCTTCTGTAGGCACCCTTCAGATATTGAAAGGCCGCTATAAGGTCTCCCCAGAGCCTTCTCTTCTCCAGGTTATCAGTTCAAGGTGTAAATGGTCCTTACGCCACTGCATCCCAGGCAGAGCTTCTGCAGAGACAGGGAGCGTTGCCCAGGACAGGACGGTGGGTTGGCACTGGGCCATGTGTTTATTAGTTTTTACAGTAGCTGGGGAGAGGAATTGCTCCGTGGCTTTGCCTTTTCAATTGAGGGCCTTATATAGCCTCTTTAATAACACTGCAGAGGAACAGCTCTGCTGCTCCTTACGCCAACTCCTGTTTGTATACTGATTTTCAATGCTTCTTCCCTGAATTGTAGAATCACTTGTGACAAATCTCATTTTGGAGGAGGTAAAATATAAATTCTTGCTGCACTTAGAAAACTGCCCTTGAAAAGGCAAATCCTGTGCTACTCTTGCTCTTCAGGCTCTCTCAGGGCAGGCCCTGCAGTGCTGTAAATCTCTGCAGTCATTGGCTTCCTCTATTTTAACAAGTGATGCAGAGTGGTGGAAGCAGATGCACAGAATGAAGTGGGTGATGCCTAGCACCCAGCGTTCACACTCGGGTGTACTGGGTGTTTCTGCTTCTAACTAGCTCTCATCTGCACTGATAGGTGGAACACAAGGACTGGAGTGAGTTAGGTGCTTGGACAGCATGTGTCAGTTTAGTTTAATCTAAAGAAATCCAGTTTCCCCCCCCCCAGTTTTAAGACTATTCCATGATGAGAACTGAGGCCCAGCGAGCAGAGATAGATGATGATGAATTTCATTCCATTCCCCAGTCCACACTAAAGCTTCAGTGTGGATGCACCCACTGCTTCCTGGGAATGGTTGACAGAGTGTGTGCACGGGCCGCTCTGCTCTGCTTGGCCAGTCCCTGTTTCACCACAGTGTCAGAAGAGTCTGGAGAAGGCTACATTTCACCTATCACTTCTTTGATGGAGAGCTGAGTTTCTTGCTGTAGAAGGGCACCAAGCAATGTGTGCTAAGCTATTACCCCAAGAGATATCAGTGAGAGTTAGTAACTGCCCAAGCAGCTCTAGTGCACGTTCCCTTTTTTCAGTAATAGTAATGTTCCCTCCAGAGTTGGGACATTTCATATTTTCATTCTGGCAATAACTACTTTTAGAGGTCTGTGAATTGAGGATTGGGATTTTGGGTGGGCCTTATCTTTATTATTAGTATAACTACAACTTCAAGCGGATTTCTTAAAAATCAAGAGATGAAGGTCTTTTCTGATGACCAAAAGCCTACAAATAATCTTCTGTACTTGTCCACTTAGTAGCAAAACCCCCTCAGATTTTGGGAAGTGCCAGTCTTTCCTGCCTGAGGACAGCATGCACCCGTAGCACCACCCTGTGGTCAGTGGGAATGTGGAATTCATTAGAGCTGAGATTCTGCTGCTGACATGATTCAAGGTCCATATGTGCAGGTGGAATTAGAAGTTGGTAGCCAAGGATCTGCGGCATTGGCTGTTTTGCTTCTGGTATCTCTTTTTTTCCCTTAAAGTCAAACTAGATGACTCGGCTCCTCCTGTTGTTCCCCCACCTCCCTGAGGCCAATAATTAATTCTGTGATTTCAGTGCAGATCTGCATTTTACGAGCATGTGAAGGGATTTCTCACTCGATGAGTTTGACTTCATAATTTGTAGCTTAAATTAGCAGATCAGCAATATCCAGCCTTGGTCTGGTTTCTGTTTGAAGTTTATACTACTTTTTCCAGCCTTGCATTTGGCACATAGATTTTGTATTGAATAAATCAGGGCCCTTAGTGCCGTTACACTGTTTGGCTCTGTGGTATTGATTTCTGTCCCATCTGTGTCCTAAAACTGTTGGGAAAAACTGAACTTCGACTCAAGGCTACGGATGGCAGTTGGAATGGGTCCCTGGTTACTCAGGTCTCACCCAAAGGCCACAGAGAATTTGGCTGTCGGTGAAACTGTCATGTGTATGGGGCAGGATGGATGTGAGGGCTTGCACTGCTGTCTTTGTCACACTCTGACTTGCTTAGGGCCAACACTTTGATGTTTTATTGAGTTGGCATGTCCTAGGGTTGTATTGTTTAAGCTCTAACTTGATTTCTGTTACATCAAGGGTTAAAGGAAGCAGGTTTTGGCTTGTTTTTTTTCTCCAAATACTGGCCATATTTTGCTACTGCGATTGCATGTTGACACAATGATATTTTTCCAGGAAATTGTTGTGTAGTGTGTTTCCCCTCTCTGATTAAATCCTGGAGAAGAACCAAAATAAACAGAAAAATTACTTGAAAAACTAATGAAGTGTCAACGCATCACTGAATATAAATTAGAGTTGGGGAGGCCTTAATCGTTTTCCCTAGTTGTTACAAAATATTATTTTAAGTACTGTTCGTATTATTTAATTGCTGAGATTGCTGAATACTACTGTTTTAAAAGTATTTTCAAATAGTAGATGAAAAAATACCATGGAATTAGAAAACTAACCATAGAGTGCTTTCTCTTCTGGGCGTTGCTGTTGCTGGGTGTTTAAGTGTTGCCATCCTGCTGGGTCAGTGCGGCCTGGTGAGGTGTGGAATTACTGAGTGGGTGATCCTGCCTGTGAATTAAAATACCTGGAACTGGGGGACTTCCCCAGGTGCTGAGATTTCATCTTGTGCTGGGTAATGCATAATTCATGTTTATGTGGATTAAATCTACAGGTATTCGAATGCTCGACCAGCCATTTATGACAGACATTATTGAGGCTTCCTCTATCAGTCATATGCCTCAAGTCATAGATATATACAGTGCCAGCTGGGGACCCACTGATAATGGAAAGACTGTGGATGGACCTAGAGAGCTAACACTGCAAGCGATGGCCGATGGTGTGAACAAGGTAAGTCTTATTAAATAATCTGTGTACTGGGGCAGAATGGTATCTATGCACTCGCTGAAGCCAATGACTTAGGAATACATGGTCCTCCCATAGATGTTGCAGAACACAATGCAGTTGTGTAAATTCTCTCAACTTTCAGCATATTTCAAGGTCCACTGATGTTCTTTCAGCAATACTGTGGCATTTGTTTTATTGTATAGTCTCAGGATGCTGTGCTCTCTTGCATGGAACTGTGTTTATCTCTGGTCAGCTCACATATGGTTTTCATATGCCATCGCAATGAAAGTGGAAGAGCCTGATTCTGTAAATATTTCCCAGGTTGAAGCACACCAGCTGTACTACTGACATCACATTGTCTGTTTAGGTGTGCTACCAGGCTAATGACTGTGTTGGATTTGTAGTGTCTTTCAGGTCACTCATATATTGTCATTATTATGGCTGTGGTTGAACCACAGCTGTTCAGATATCCATGGAATAATATTATTCCTCAGTAGCAGGAGCCTCCTTGTTTATTCCCACCTTTCCACCTCCTCCTAGGAACAGTCTGTGGTCTTTGTTAAAGACACTCAGTATCATCCTGGAATCTGTTAAACTCCATTAGAAGGTTGGGTAAAACATGTGCCACATCTCAACCCCCCAAAAAACACATTCCAAAACAAACAGCCCTTGCATGGCTTGTTCTTCTTCTCTTCGGTGTCATGCAGCCAGGACAATCACAGCTTCTTCTGGTGCTGTAAGGAATGAGCCTCCTCCCTTTGGTTGATCATAGATGGGGTTTCCATAATGAAAAGATCTGAAATTCCCCAGCACATCTGGGGTGCTTTTGTGTGGGAGCTCCATAATTACTCATTTTTCTACCCAAATTATTTCTTCCTCTTACTTGTGCCAGTTTCTCCCACTCTTCATCATCACCTCGTTGTGAGCAGCACATTCAGTTTACCATGTTTTATGCCATGTTAATTAAATCTACTGCTGTGGTAGGTAGCGAAGCATCTAAAGCTTTCTCAAATCCTGACCCTCAAATGTTTTGCCTATAACAGATGAATTATAGTCACCTTCATGCTCTGGCCCATAAAATACGTGGTGCACTACAATAACACAGGAAGACTTGTCACAAATTTCTCTCAAGTCTGCTCGGTTTTGTAGTATAAACTTTATAAACATCTGATGAGCTCAAGGTCGCTGTGAAGCCATCTTACAAAAACTGTATTTCTTCTCATGACTGTCTTTCATTTATCTAGTTGCTGTAAAGATCCTCTTAAATACTCGTGTCTTGGGGACAATCTTTCTTAGGTATGTGACACAGTTGATGTATTTTTAGCAGGACCTTGATGTCTTACAGTTAGTGGATAATTCATCTTCCTTCCACTAATGTTGCTTGGAACAGAGATAAACTCTGAAGATAGAAGAATTTTTGTTAGTCTCCTCCCATGCAGAACTTGTCTAAAAGTAGCAAAAGAGGCACTAATAACCCTGACAGGGGAATGCAAACTAAATTAAATAGAGGTGTTTTACCCTCTCAAGAGAAGCAGATTATAATTTGTAGCTGTGAGGTTTTTTGCAGTTTGGTATTTAAAAGATCTTTCAGTAACTTGCAAGTGTATCGCCATATGCTTCAGTTTGTGGATTTACACTGGAATTAATTTTGTCTTTGAATGTCAAGTGTAGGAGAAGGGATTTTTTTCTTCTGTTTTATTGTCTGGTCAAAGTCTTGTATTTGGGGGTGTTGGTATATTACTTTTTTAATTCCTTCTTGTCAAAGGTGTCTGTAATTCTTTTTAAAAATAATTTGTAATATTAAGGTCGGAAGGGGCCCTGGGACCTCTGGGGTTGAATGCTCATGAATTAGAGAGAATGGTGATGCTGAGCTGCTCTCTGGGAATGATTGCTCTCATGTCTTATCAGAAAGTATAAAACTAACAGGAGAGCCTTAGGAAACCAGGTTTGTCAAACAGCCATTGCAGAATTAGAAAGCAGAAGGAATAATACTGGATTCTACTTAAGAAAGATATCATCCGGGGAAAATTACACTTAATTTTATAGTAGCAGTATCCCAGCTGTCTCCTGGCAATACATGCAGCAAAGAGACAGCTCCACCCCAAGTAACTCCCTTCGCATTGCAGTTATAGCTTTATCTACCCTTATCTTGCTCATTACATTTCCTGTCGTAGAAGGGGTTTTTTGGGTATGGTTTGTTCTGATTTCTTTTCATGGAGAGACATATTTTCTAAAGGTATTTCAATGTGTCAGTGGATGCTGGGTACTCTCCACGGTGCTTTGAAAAACCCACTGCAGGCTTTCCTGCATGTAAATGAAGACCAACCAGCCTTTGATATAATACCCTTTTACCTAGTTTAGGTCTATAATATATGCATCAAATTCTCTATTGACTGTACAAATGTAAATCTCATTTAAGACCATTTTTCAGAATAAAACCCCCTCTTATTAAAGAGAAAAGTATCTTTTATAAACCAAGAGACAAATAAATGTAGTAATTCTTTTTCTCAGTCTAGAGCTGATTCTCACCAGAGTGATGGTTCATGAATTAGTGATGAAGCTGAAATATTGGCAGGGAGGAGGCAACATGCTGAGAATAAAAATGTGTTATTAAACTAAAAGCAATACTTTCAAATGTCATAGAAGGAAATGTAAGATCTCTTGCACAGAGCAAGATTATTATCCTTGCTTCTAATGCAATAAACTAAAAATAAATAAGTGGGAGTGATACAAAATGCAGTTAACTGAGTTGACAAACAAACATTTACCTTGTTGTCGCCACATTTGGGAACCCGACTCAAGGAGAAACTCAAAAGAATTTCATCCTTCACCCAAATTCCATTCCACTGTCCTTTTGAAGTCTTCCTTCCAGAACTGCTAGGATGCCAGGTGACCAGTAACTAATACTGATATGGTGATGCTGACTGCAGAAACTGTGAGACTTCTTGTTTGTGTGTCTGTTTTCATGACTTGAAGCTGTGCTGCCATAACCAGGTGGGCTAAGCCCATCTTCATACTTCTCCTCTACCATTTCCCATTCCTGGCATTAGTTAAACTAATTTTTACCTTCTGTCTTATTGGTACCTTCACTCAGTCTGCTCTTGTTAAATAACATAAATAAAGGCAGCACTAAAATAGCTTAATTAAGGGCAGTAGAATCTGTCTATCAGCTTGGCAGCTCCTTTATGGGCTCTTCTACTAACTGCTTTTCTGAGGCTGAACATAAAAGGATGCCTTGTGCATGAAGTAGGTATCAGTGTAATACACGCCATCAAAAGGTATTGGGGAGGGGACTCTGGCTGCTTTGTGTTATTAAGCCACAATCTCACTCTTTTTTAGTGCAATCTGCTCTTCGCTTTGTTATCTCCTGACTTTTGTTCAGGGGCAATAGTCAGCAGCGTGACTGGGTCACTGAACACAGGTAGTTGCACTGCAAAGATAAATGAGCTGGCAGCTGAAGTAGCAGAAAATTGAGGACGGGGATTGAAAGCATTTCGTATGCACAAACGTCCACCAGCAGTTTGGCAATTACTGCCACTGGTTTGACACAGACACTGGTTTGACTGGTTTGACATTTTACCTAATGCAAATCCCAGCTGCTAGAAAACACGTTTGGCATGTAATTGGAAAGGATTTAATGGAACTGCTCGTGTGCTCACTTTCATCGCTCCTAATCGCTCCATTCCACCTATTTGCAGATGTATTTGTTTGAGCTATGGAGGGATTTTACTGCAGGTGCAGAAATACAAACTAAAATTCAGAGCAGAGCAAGAAACCAGGATGATGGACTTAGGAACAAGTAGCCCGACAGCGTTGAGCACAGTGAGCATCTCCCATCTGATGGAGCAATACTTTCATTTGAGAGGAGGAGGGAGTGAGCTCCTAATAGTGTTTTGGTATAGTGTGGCTGGACAAAGCACTGCTGTGTGATTTATGTATCCCTTGTCTGCCCTGGGCTTGCACACTCGAGGGGCTAGAGAGCTTGGAGGGGGGAGGTAGGGATGGCAGACGGGATTCCTGTGACAGCACAACTCTCCTAAATACAGACCTTTTGTTCTCTGGTACCTTGCTTCCAGAACTGTACCTGCAGTCATCTTGAAGAGGAAGAGGTAACTAGCCCAAGAACTAATTCCACACATGTTTTATGGTAGATCCTCTCTTTAATGCAACATCCAGTAAATGTTTCTTCCTATTTTAGGAGTCCCGTTCTTTCCAGCTTCAGCTATTGGAATTTAAGGCAGTAAACAGAAGTAATCTTAAGATAGGCCAGTCTCTATGTATTGCATTTTTATGATGTAGGCTTTTATATCAGTCGGTTGTGAGAAGTTCCTCGTGGACTGAATTAATTTCTTGAGATTTCGCCTGCTCAGCCAGAATATATAAGACATGATCCATTTGTGCTTGTGCTGGTGAAAATGTTATTGCTTCCATAATATGGCTCTACCTAAGATAATGCTGCACAAGTACAAATTGCCAGGGGAGCAGTATTAAGAATTTATAGTCTCATCATGGCTCTGTAATTGGGCTCACCAATGAAAGAAGAAAGGACGGTGCTAAAAATGAAAGGAAATATTTCTCCTTTGCCTCTCTCCGAGGCCACAGACATTGTGCTACCGTCCTTTGAAATATGCTGAAGATAGCACATTAATAAAGTATGTGCTGTTAGATACCTCTATCATTGTTACATTGGCTCAACAGCCAAGTGAGGATAGGGAAATTAGGTTATGATCTGGCAACTGTCTGATTACCCATTTTCTGAGGAAGCCTTACAAGCTTCTTTATAACCTGTAAGCCCTTTACTATAATATTGCTGTTGTGTTTGGAATGTGCATTATAATTCCATGCCTTGTCTTGCTTATGCAAGCTAAAATCAAGCCTTATTAAAACCCCACGCAAATATGTTATATCTGCTTGGAATTCTGAAGTCACCTGCCAGGGGACATTTTCAGGCTTTTGGAAGGCAGCGTGAGCAGCTTTCCTGACCTGGCCATGGGATACCATGG